CTGGCTCTACATGAGCACCATCCCCTAGAGTCGGACACGACTGGACATTTGTCAAAGGTGCCTTTACTATGGAGAGGTGGGATTTTATCCATGTATATTTTTTAGTGGTTCAACCTTACTCTTGCATTTGTAAAACTGTTGTGCTTCTTTTTAGATTGCACAGGAATAGAAGCCCATTTTATTCTTCTAGGGCCCTGCAGATACGTTAGCCCAAACAGTGTCCTTTTGAAATTGGAAGAGCCCTCCTTATCTTCAAATTCCTGTTTCTTCCTCTTCCTGTTCCATTCCTACCAAACTGACCAAAATATATCATACCACAACTGGTGTATGACTCATAATGTTCTCTTTGTGTTTAGAAGGTTTGTTGTTGTTGTTTAGTCATGTCCGACTCTTTGTGACCCCATGGACCAGAACACGCCGGGCCCTCCTGTCTTCCACTGCCTCCCGGAGTTGGGTCAAATTCATGTTGGTCGCTTCGATGACACTGTCCAACCATCTCATCCTCTGTCGTCCCCTTCTCTTGCCTTCACACTTTCCCAACATCAGGGTCTTTTCCAGGGAGTCTTCTCCCTTGGTGTTATTACACAACTTCATACGATTTAGAAACCCCTCATTTGTGTCCCACTCCTCTGGTACCCCTTCATTAGATGTGGGAAACATACTGATGTTGGATGTACTGTTTTCCCCCATAATGAGACCAACAATTTGCTATGTTTAGATCCAACATCCACATCCCTTCCAGCATCTCTGTTGGGTAAGCTGCCACCTATTGATAGAAGGTCATGCAAAAAGCTGGACTGGACTGGAGGAATCCCAAGCCGGAATTAAGAATGCCGGAAGAAATATCAACAGCCTCCGATATGCAGATGATACCACTCTGATCGCAGAAAGTGAGGAGGAATTAAGGAACCTTGTAAATGAGGGTGGAAGAGGAGAGTGCAAAAAATGGTCTGAAGCTCAAAACCACGACAGAGGGAGATAACGTTTCCGGATGAACCATTTTCCTGCCTTCCCCTTGCCCAAGAAACATTTGCCGTTGTCAAAACAAATGGCAGAGGGAGCTGGGAAGATGGAGCTTCATCTACTGAGCATGCTGATGCAACTATTCATCTTGAGGACCGGGCAAGGTAAGGATGGATCTGTTTGTAGGCCAAGAAAAGCTAGGAGATCGATGTGGAGAAGGTACAGCAATTTGGGCTGACAAGGAGCCACGAATTGAGTGTGTGGAGCATTTCTTTTCAGTGATTCATCAAACTAAGCACGTCAGTGAGTCTAAACATCAGGACTCTACTTTTTCCTCTGTGTTTTTAAGATTTTTGAAGTAATAGAATAGACAGGCTGGGAGCTAGAAACTGATGATGGTCATGAATGAAATATTTGATGGCAGGGTGGGTCAGGAATGCAAGCATACATACATACATACATACAGTCATGCCCCGCTTAACGATTACCCCACATTACGACGAATCTGTTTCACGACAACGCGATCGCAAAAGATGTTTTAAATGTTTTTTTTTTTGCTTTGCGGAGATCAGTTCCCTGTTTTGGGAACCATTTCTTCGCATTACGACAATCAAAACAGCTGATCGCCGGGTTTTCAAAATGGACGCTGGGTGCTCAAAATAGCTCCCCGCTGTGCTTAGGGATGGAGTCCTCGCTATACATGCACTGAAAATGGCTGCCGTATGGAGGATCTTCACTGGACGGTGAGTTTTTAACCCATTGGAACGCATTAACTGGGTTTTAATGCGTGTCAACGGGTTTTTTATTTTCGCTTTACGACATTTTTGCTCTACAGCAATTTCGCTGGAACAAATTAACATCGTAATGCGAGGCACCACTGTACATACATGCAACCAATGGAAATTACCAGACAAAGACACAAGATGGCAGGCCTGGAATGATACTCAGTGGGATTTGAGCAGAGAGGACGCTAACCCCTTCTTCTCTTCTCCCTTAGCTCTCATGACAAAGATTGTTTGTGCATCTGGAGAACAAACCTCACTTCCCTGCGAAGTCTCAAGCTCCCATACACGTTGGTTCTGGTTCCCCTTGAATCCCACATGTGCTAACATAAGTGGGAATTGGGTGGAGATAGCCCAGAATCATACCACACATGAAGTGACTCCTCTTCGGTTCAACCAGCGCCTGACATTCTACAATCAAAAATCATTGCTTCTCAGGAATCTGGTCATGAGCGATGCTGGTATCTATCTGTGCCGCCTCCCCAATGGCTCAGAAACTCACACTGAACTGCAGGTGGACCCAGGTATGTATCTAAGCCATCACTTTTTTCTATAACAACTTGTGGAGCTTTGTGGTGCTGTGGTTAAACTGCAGTATTGCAGTCAAGATTCTGCTCACAACCTGAGTTCATTCCCTATGGGCTCAGGTAGCTGGCTCAGACTGAAGGAGCCAATGAAGTTTGGTTTCTAAAATCTTGCTCATGAAGAAGGCCCTTTATGCTTAAAATCATTGACCATGTAAAAATCAGAATAAAGATTATTCACATCTTTCTACATCCGGAAGTCTTGTCTTTCAAGGCTGACTCAGCCTTCGATTCTTCCGAGGTTAGTAAAATGAGTATCCAGCTCACGGAGGAGAGGGCCATGTATAGCCTGCATAGTTAAATTGCAAACTGCCCAGATAGTGTTTTAAACGCTATGAGGCAGTCTATAAGCAACACACCATCAAGGCCAATTTTAACTAAAATTGTATAATCCTCACAAGATGTTCCACCTTTTGTTTCATGTGGGAAGGGAGAGAGAGCGGATAAATTTTTTAAACCTGCAATACCTACATGTGATGAAAACCATAAATGAGTGTACCTTATTCTTTGTGACATTTGAGAATGGCACAGTCCCCATGTAAGGATCTGAGAGTTAACTTGTTTGAACATTCAAAATATTCTGGGGGGTCTTTATTCTGGAAGTTGTTGTCTAAATAATATGCCCCATCTACTTCAGCCCAAGATATTTTGCCACCTGAACTGGACCAAAAAATGGCACCTCTTCCCCACTCACTAGATCGGTGGTCCCCAGATTTTATTGGACTAAAACTTCCAGAAACCTTGACCACTAGCAGTGCTGGCCAGGATTTCTGGGAATTGTGGTCCAAGAAAATCAAAGGACCCAAGATTGTGGCCCTTAGCCAAGTTAGGGTGTGTGTCTGATTTTGGTTCAGATTATTAACAATGAGCCTCACAGCCCTCCATAGTTCTAATAAAAACATGTCTGTGTGTATAGACCCACAATTAAGTAAACAAAGACTGGAGACATTGGTATCCATTTAAGGGTGTCTTACCATTCAATGTTTGCCTCACAACTATCCAGAAGTCCCTTAGCCTGTACTCAGGCTGATTGTTTGTAAGGAAACAGGCATATCTAACATAAAAGGTGTTGGGAATGAAAGTGGACATTTCCAAAACTGAACTGTATTGAATGGAACAAATAGCCAACAGTTGGCATCATCACGGAGTTCAGAGTACATATACTCTGAGTGCAAAAGAAGCCAGCTTCAGTTGCTGGCAGGGATGTTGACAAGTTTTTGGGTCCAAGATTGAATCTTTGGTACCAAGTCCCAAGTCCTGAGTCTTTATGAAAAACCAGTTCTTTTCCACAAGAAAAGGGTGGGTGGGTTCTGAGTCACGAGTCGAGTTCGAATCAATGGGGGGGGGAACCAAGTTGAGTCACTGCTGCAACTTGAGTCCGACTTGACAGCAAGTCGTGTGACTCAAGTCTGCAGCCCTGGTTCCTGGCATATTGCGCTGACAAAAAAAATGCACTCTGGGGAGCTCAAGAATTCGGTTCCCCCTGTACCTCCAATATTGTCTTGTGCGAACTTGAGCACAGCCCCGAGCAGCCTCAGAAAGATGGAATGGTAAAGCACTTCTGAGTACTCTATACCTAAGGAACTTGGAAAGGATCACCGTATCTCATGACTGACTTAACAGCACGTAATTATCATTGAGTGGTTGGAAATATCTCCTTCTGAAGCAGGCTAGACCAAAACATGGGCCTCCACTGATAAATTGCAGTTTCCTGTTATTTGGACATGTGTTCTCTGGAAATAGTTTTTACGTTGCTCTACCAGGGCAGAATGCAAAATGTAATCTCGAAAGCGTAATTTAGTGCACAATAAAGGAAAACAATAACTAAACCAGCGCTATTGCACTTTGGACATATCACGAGAAGGCAAGGTTCACTAGAGAGAGCAGTAGAGAAAGAGGAAGACAGTACGTGAGATACTTTGACTCAGTGAAGGAAACCCTGGGCTCGAGTTTGCCAAAGCTGAGGAGGGCTGTTAATGAGAGCACATTCTGGAGGTCACTCATTCATGGGGCCACTAACCCAGAAGTGACTAAAGGGTGCATAACAAACCCCAAATTAAAGACAAAAAATATGTAAAATGGAAGAGTCTTGCAGCATCGTAAAAGCTGAGGAGGGCTGTTAATGAGAGCACATTTTGGAGGTCACCCATTCACTAACCCAGAAGTGATTTAAGGATGCATAACAACCCCAAATTAAAGACAAAAATGGAAGAGTCTTGCAGCATCGTAAAAGACTAACACATTTGTAATGGAAATGTTAGGGTGATAATAATAATTATTATTAAATGATGAATCACTGTTGGCTGTTTTAATGCTTCCAAGAGCTCACCTGCTTAGAGATGCAACATTTCCAGAAATTTTGAAGGTGTCTAAAGATCTTGGGGGGAGGGGCAGAAAAAATACCTGGGTTTTTTTCCAAATTTTTTTCTAGGTTTTTTTCCAAACCTCGTCATCTCTAAGCAAGATGCAGTCCCAGCTAGAGATGTAAAATTTCTGGAAATTGTGAAGCCATATAAAACAGCTTTTGGGGGGGGGCATTGAAAATCTGGGGGTGGGGCTTGAAGCCATATAAAACAGCTTTTTGGGGGGGGCATTGAAAATCTGGGGGTGGGGAATGACAGTTCCCCCTTCCCCCCCCCAAGCTTTTTATATGGCTTCAAAATTTCCAGAAAAGTTAAATCTTTACACCTATCTAATGCAAAAACACACTTTTTCCTTTGCATTTGTTAAAATGCTTGCCTGCCAACATATCCTGTTCTGAAACTAGCAAAACCCTGAGAACCTTATACAGTATAAGTTTCTTTTGTTAGACAACAACTTCCAGAAACCTGGAAGTCCATTTGGTTGTCAGTTTGCTTGCTTGCATCCGCCAAGAACAGGGCATAGGTACTAATGGTGTGGTATAGAAATGAAACTAAACCAACCAACCAACCTTCCATCACTGGGGGATTCTGTGTGTTGTTTTCGAAACAGAGCAAAACTTTCATCTTCTTCCACACCACTGTTTCCCCCCACACACACACACATAAAATCAAGTGTTCTTCCTTTGAAATGTAAGGGTTATTTCATTGGATCTCATTTATGTCTATTGTTTGTTTGTTTGTTTGTTTGGTTGGTTGGTTGGTTGGTTGGTTGGTTGGTTGATCAATTAATTGATTGATCGATTGATACACACACACACAGAGAGAGAGAGAGAGAGAGAGAGAGAGGGATTTCCATTTCTGTACCAGGTACCGCCTTGAAGCTTTTTGTGAAATGTTTCATTGCATGAGAGGAACATTTATTTGTTTGTTTGTTTGTTTGTTTAAACTATTTCCCCCCCACATTTCGCCTTAAGAAGGACTCAAGGGGGCTTACTTCATTAAAAGACAATATTTAAGAACCATGAGGATAAAGAGGCAGCTTACAGTACATAGTTTAAAAGACAACATTAAAACAATAACTAGACAAATATTAAAAAGGAACAAACGAATATCACTCTGAGAGATGGTAAACACAAGCAGTACTAAACACCCAGTCAGAGCAGGAAGGCATAACAACAACCCATCTAAAAGTCATACTCAGGTAGGCAGTTCCTGAGGGAATCTGGTCATGAAATGGCGGTGGTGTCTGTTCCCAGGGTTCACCGGTTTTCCTTTTCGGTCTTCAGGCTGCCACAACAACCTGCTTGTCTCCTATGAGTGGCTTCATCCTTCTTTGTTGAAACTCAGTTGCCATCACTGCATTTTCCAGAGGAGGACAGACTCTTTCCGCTGGGTGGTGAATTCAAAGCCACTGGGGAACCGACGCTGGGCTAAGAAGAGCAACCATGGGTCTACCGTCATGCTACATCCCTTCCGGCAAACCGTTTGGGGCCGCTGGGAGTGTCATTCCCTCGATTACACTTCCTGGGTCTCTGAAATTTGTTTGGTTGCGCCCATCAGATACATGGAAGCAGGTAATTAATAGTTACATGGTAGAATTCTGCTAACAGCTAGCAGGGCTGTAATCGGACTAGAGTGACTGGGTCATTGCCCCTGATGTCAAATGTAGAGAGAGTCCCTCAAACTTCCAGCAGCCTGGTCTACCGCCACGAGAAATGACGGAGTAAACCAGGGCCCCGGAGCAAACACTCATTTTTGGCAAGCTGAACAAACAGTAGACTCGTCTGCCAGGGTAGAGCAGAGGAAAGGTGATTGGTATACCAGGTCCCAGTGGAGCACCAGACGGCAGGTCCATCCAGCAGCCTGGGTCTCCTGTGTCAAGAGAGCTTCCTCGTGCCTTCTAGTTGTGTGGGAAGCCATTTGGCTACTTTGGGGTGGGGGGAAGGCAGCACCCCTGGCCCAATACACTGTTTTAAAAAAAGATATTTTTTAAAAAAATGGGCTGCTAGGAGGAACGAGGGAGTTTCTTCAGTGAAAAACAAATAAAAAAATATTTTGGAGTCGGTAGAAGGGATGAGGCCTTGCAAAGTCAACGGTGCGGTTTGGATTGAAATTCGTAGAGATTCCATCGCGTCCTTTCCTCTTCTTCCAGCTCTCTCCCAAGAGTAGCATGATCGCATCTTAAATAACTTCCCAAGGAGAAGTGAAGTTTCTACAATAATTAATCCTGTTTGCTCCGTTTCTGCCAAATTGGTCTTTGCTGCTTAATCCCACATTGTAGGTGACATTTAAGCACGTGAAGAAATGTTTTGTATTTCGTTGTTGGTCGAGCAAACGATTTGCCCTTGATGACGAAGGTCTGAACGACAACGACAAAGCCACCTTTCTTGTGCCTCCCCCCAAACCCTCCATTATTTATTTTGCGCCACTTTGTACCAAGGCACTTCCAGGGAGCCTGACTTCAAACCATACAGGTGTTATGGGTGTGTTTTTAATTGTTTTTTTTTTCTGGTCAGTTTCAAAAATAAATTGTTTTGTGGTTTGTGCTGTAATCCTTTGCTGCACGGGTGTTACGGGTGTGTTTTTAACTGGGGTTTTTTTTTTCCGGTCAGTTTCAAAAAAATAAATTGTTTTTGTGGTTTGTGCTGTAATCCTTTGCTGCTTTGAGTGACCTTTTTTGTTTGTTTTTTTGGAAAGGGGAATGTTAATGGCTAATTAATATTGCCGTTTCTTTCTTCTCTCAAAAACTCCTACTACCATACAATCATTCATGAAGATTTCGGTTCTGCAGACACAACATCGTGGGCCTCCTTCCTTTCGTCAAGTTCTCCCCTTGCTAGGACCACAGATGTTACACCCACTGGGCATGCTCTGAAGAGGATAGCTGTCTGGATTTGGACCTTGCTGTTGGTGGGGCTGGTTTTGCTCCTGGCTGCTCTCGGAATGGCTGTGTGGTTGAAGAGGTGGGTCAAGATCCTTGACATGGAGGGGTTTGGTAGCAAAGCGTGTGGAGCCATTTTGTCAGGCTGAATATTCCTCTTCTCCCCAATCTTAACCTCACTAAAGCACTGTGGGGTGGGTCAGACAAGTGGGGGGGGAGGGGGAATTGAGAAGAGAGAGTTTAACCAAGCTGGATAGTTCAGTGGTTTTAGGTGTCTGGCTGCAGAGACGGAGAGTCCACTGTGCCTCCTGGGAGAAGAGCCAGCCTGTTTGGCCTTGGGCAAGCTGCACAGTCCCAGGGCACCCCTAGAACAAGGGAATGGTAAACTGCTTCTAAGTAGTCTCTACGTGGAATAATCCTGGAAAAGGATTTCCATATGTCTGAATTGACTTGATCCTGAAGCTGAGGCTCCAATCCTTTGGCCCTCTCATGAGAAGAGAAGACTCCCTGGAAAAGACCTTGATGTTAGGAAAGTGTGACAGCAAGAGGAGAAGGGGATGACAGAGGATGAGATGGTTGGACAGTGTTATTGAAGCTACCAGAATGAATTTGGCCTGACTCCGGGAGGCAGTGGAAGACAGGAGGGCCTGCCGTGCTCTGGTCCATGGGGTCACAAAGAGTCGGACACGACTAAATGACTAAACAACAACGAATTGACTTGACTGTACATGTTAATGATGATTAGAGAGTCAAACCCAAATCTCCAAAGTCCTAAATCTAACACCCTAATGAATACTCTCCACTGACTCTCAAGAGATGAATAGAAACCACAGAATACTGGTACACAGCAAGAAGGCAGGAGCTCAACATTGGGTGCCATTTTCACTGGTGTTCCCTTATCAAACTGAACATGCCTAACTACCAGTGCTGCGGTTGGAGCCATGGCTTATAGGGGCAACACCCCTAGATTTTCTGAGGAGCACAAACTATGGCATAATGTGCCACCCAACCCAGGAATGGATTTTCTCCAAGAAAAATAGGTGGGCTGAAATCCTGTTGCTTAGCAGGATCTTAGCAGGATAGTCAAAGCTATGGTTTTCCCTGCAGTGATGAATGGAAGTGAGAGCTGGAGCATAAAGAAAGCAGACCGCCGAAGAATTGAAGCTTTTAAATTGTGGTGGTGGTGGAGGAGGCTCTTGAGAGTCCCCTGGACTGCAAGGAGAACAAACCTATCAATTCTAAAGGAAATCATCCCTGAGTGCTCACTGGAAGGACAGATCCTGAAGCAGAGGCTCCAATACTTTGGCCATCTCATGAGAAGAGAAGACTCCTTGGAAAAGACCTTGATGTTAGGAAAGTGTGACGGCAAGAGGAGAAGGGGACGACCGAGGATGAGATGGCTGGACAGTGTTATCAAAGCTACCAGAATGAATTTGACACAACTCCGGGAGGCAGTGGAAGATAGGAGGGCCTGGCGTGCTCTGGTCCATGGGGTCACGAAGAGTCAGAAACGACTAAACGACTAAACGACGAGCAGGATCTAGTAGGTCACAACTAGAGTCAGCCCATTGGAATACGTAGAACCTATGGTGCAGTTGGCTCACTAGATCCCTGCTGATTCAGTGGGATTACTCTAGTTGTGACTGACTGACCATGCTAAGCAACAGGAGTTCTGCTATTATTGCAAACTGTCCCTGTTACAATGCAGTCTTTAAGGGTAGTTTGGTCTCAAAAGACCTCCTCCTTGACTGTTGACATGCACAAATCTTACATGTTTGCCCTCTTCTTAAGGGGCACATGGGCCATGGAGACGGTCATAATGAGCACCTGCATATCCCTATTTACACCTATAAAACTGGTAACTAACCTAAGATTCTTGCCATTTCTTTCTAGGAAACACCAAGAAAGAAAGAAATGGACAGGTGAGGAATGAATGAAGGCCTCTTTCCTTTCGCCATTGATTTATTTGCTCGCACACGTGCTTGGTTTTGTCTAGGCTAGAATCCCATTAGTCCAAGCCCCACCACTGAAGTGCCCAATCTCTCCTTCTCTGAATCCCCAGAGTTGGGACTCTGAGGGCATAATTTTCAAAACGCAATCAACTGAATTATTTAAGTCGGGAAACGGCGACTTAATATCAGTAATGCCTCATGCCATTTCAGAGACCTTTCAGGACAAATAAAGACACTTTATAAATAAATTGAAAAGGATTTATAAAAT